CTGAGTTATGTTTAGGATTTCTTTGCGTAGTGATTATTGTGACTATTTCTTCCTTTTCATCATAAAGTTTAGAGTTACGATACTTTACGAGTAAATTCTGTGTACATAGACATTGCTGTTTTGTGTAAATGGACATTGAATTGACATAGTGACATTTTTGTTAAAGTATGAAGGAGAATCGATTTTATATACAATCTTATTATGGTACACAATAAATAATCTAAGCACTTATATTATTCAGCATTGTTGCCACATAACATTTCACGGATCAGTCAGATAAACGCCCGCGACGCAACTTAATGTATTCGGAACATTCTTTCTTTTATATCTTTTGAGTCGATGATACAAATGAGCTAAATGAAACATATCAGTGTTTCGGAACATTTCAGTGATCAAGATGCAAATGTTCCAATCCCAAAAATGATACACTTTGCCCACCTCCACTGACTTGGTCGTGGTCTATACCGGCCTTATATAGGGATCCAGAACCTTCTACTATAGCGACATCTAGAATGTTCGAGTACATATCGGTCCCGAAATTTCAGACCTGCCCCAGCCTGCAAAATAATGATATTTGTAATTAAAAAAATACTAGTCGACGTATTTTTAATAGCACATTACGATTATACTTGTATTTGTAATTGCACACTCTCCAATTTTTTATAAAAAATCAAAAAGTAAATTATGGTTTTTACAAGTACTGCAATATCGATATCTCCGTAAAAAATTTTTTTTCGAAATTGCACAGAGTGCCAATAAATTGCACATATCTCGATTGTAATTGCACAATAACGTATTGTTATTGCACATACTTATTTAGTTACAAAAATTAATAATTAAGTAAAACTGTTTGATACCATAGTAAATAATCTCTTATTGAAATTTGTTTTATTTTAATTAATTTATTTTTATTAGGGCAGATAACAAATAAAATAGGTTAGGTTCATCTTATGTCAAAGAATCGAATTGATTGACCCCGACTCCACCTGGTACGAGTCTGTCCTACCCCTAGAGTGGTTATATATAGCCGGAGGCGCGTAGGGGGAGCAGCCTACGCCTGCTGTAACAAATCGTAGGCATCGGACGATCCGGAGCGGTTGAGGCTGGTCGCCGAAGGCGACCAACAAGCCGAAGCTGCGGAGGCGAGGAGGGATGCCTGCGATTTGTTACGCAAAGGCGTAGAGGCTGCTCTCGCCGCAGCGCCAGAGACGTTGCAATCTAAAAAAAATAGATACAGAAATATTAATTTGTAATTCATTATGTTCTTTTATTCAGCGCTGTTATAGGCAACCCAAAAAAATACCTCAAATAAACCTCCCCCCCCCCAAAGAGCAACATTCAAATTTTCCCGCCACAAAAAATTGCAGGGGCTGACTATAGATGGAGCTAGTGGGTGTATGTTAAATTTATTTTATTTTGTATGAAGTTGGCGTTCATCTCCGCTAGGAGTAATAGGCCCGTATTCACAAACGATACATACATAAGTATGGAAGCAACACTATGCTAAGTAACGTATTTCTCACTGCGTTCGTCATGGCAGGCCGTTCATTTCATGAACAATACTTAGTGGACTCTTTGTTGTGCGGAAACATAGCAGTGAATGGGGCGCCGTGATTGGTTAACGTTGTGACGCGACTTCACTCGAGTTGAACGACAGATAAAAAATAATAACACGTGTTGCTTTCTTTCAGGTAAAAGACGTTACTGGTACCGTTATTATAGGGTACATATGCATAAGAATTATTAAAATAATGTGGATTTGAAACTGTTAATAGGTAGATAACTGAATTGGTATTACAAATCTGGAAACTCTCAGATGAATAAAATCTTAAGACCACTAGTAACTTTCAAAATCTGCATTTATTACAGGCAGAAGTATATTTATTACGATATTTTTTGAAAACCTAAGTGACTTTAAAATTCATTGGAACTGTAATAAACAAAAGGATTTTGAAAGTCACGTATCACTTTTCTTGTGCTAATCATTCTTTGCACGTTTATTCTCTCCAAGATATAATTATCAAAATCATCTTCGCTGCTGTAATCCATTGCAATTATTCAAACAAAACCAATCAGCGTATCACAAATCAACAAACAAGCTTATACCCCATACCAGTTAAGACATTTGAGTTGATTAGTCGCACTATGCGTAGCGTAAAGTAGCTAGCGAGCTACTTTATCTGTGCGTTCATTTTGATGAGCGCATAGTGTCGTCTAACACTCAAGTGACGTTTATGAAACAAAATTTCGTCTACTATGCGTTAAAGCCTACTGTGCGCACGCATAGAATCGTTCTTGAATACGGGTGATAGTGTTTTGTGGTCCATGACATCTCCACCATAGAGAACCTGAACAATGTCTCTTGTAGAATTTCTAACTGTCGAATCGTAGTGCAGGCAAAGGTCTTCCAAACTCTGCACCAACTTTCTCTGCATGTATCCAGTTTCAGCTGTTTTTACACCAGTATCCACAGAAATAACAAAAAATAATACATACTGCTTTTCATTTCCTTAAAATCAAATATTCTGAAATGGATTGAAACGTGTTGTGTTGTGGTTAAAAAGCAGAACTACTTATGGCCCGTTTTCATTGATGGTATGCACTATGCCTGTCGTCTGCTGCGTATAGCGCATATTGGCGGCGACCGTCAGTTTTACTTAATTATTAATTTTTGTAACTAAATAAGTATGTGCAATAACAATACGTTATTGCGCAATTACAATCGAGATATGTGCAATTTATTAGCACTCTGTGCAATTAGAAAAAAACTTTATTTTTTGGAGATATCGATATTGCAGTACTAGTAAAAACCATAATTTACTTTTTGATTTTTTATAAAAAATTGGAGAGTGTGCAATTACAAATACAAGTATAATCGTAATGTGCTATTAAAAATACGTCGACTAGTATTTTTTTTATTACAAATATCATTATTTTGCAGGCTGGGGTGGGGGGTCTTGAAATTTCCGGAAGGATCTTGACTCTCCTAGTTCTGCTACTCGACACTAGAGGGCGCTAGTGTAACTAGTGTTGCCATGTACAAGACATTAATAGTGGCGCGCAACAATAATTATAATTATTCTTCATAAGTACACTGCTTCACAATATGTTGATTTTGATGGCAACTTGAGCCAGCAGACAGACACCCTTATCTTGAGAATTACATCACCATCAGAGCACTTGTTTCACCGTTTCCACTAAAAGTTCACATGCGCAGACACTTAATACATAAAATCGCACCACTTTTACATTTCCACAATAATACACGAGCAGCAAACCACCGCCGGTCAAGTTCCCGCTAAAACTCCCCAATCGGTTTCGCTGCCGATTTAGACTCAGACCAAAGAGAATATAATAACTTTTTTATAACTAGCTTTAAGGCTCTGAGTTCCAGCCTTTCTGAGCCTGAAGTTACAATGAATAATTATCCTTCATAGTACACTGTTTCACAATATGATGATGCGTCACATTGTGCAGCTCTTGGGAGATTTTGACGGCAACTTGAGCCAGCAGACAGCTGACAGTTGGCAATGGTAACTCAAGGCGAACACCTTATCTTGAGAATCACTTCACTATCAGAGCACTTGTTTCACCGTTTCCAGTAATAGTTCACATGCGTAGACACTTAATATACAAAATCGCACTACTTTTACATATTAAAGTCCACTTCAAACCATTATTTAAACAATAATACAGGAGCAGCAAACCGCCGCCGGTCAAGTTCCCGCCAAAAACTTCCCAATCGGTTTCGCTAACGATTTAGACACAGACCAAAGAGAATATAATCACTACGTTTAACACAGACCATAGACTTAGTAATAGACGGACATAGCACCCGCACATCACGGTCACACTATTACAATATTCATAGCATCAGCTATTTTCCTCAAGGGTTAAGCGGACTTCGGATTATATCACAGAACACTAATACCCTTAGGCGGGGATTATATTCCCAAGTCACAATGATGACACTTAGCGTAGTTAGATATAGACATTTAGTAATGCTCCTGAAGCACCGCTAGGCGGTGGAAATATTCAATAACTATATCAACTGGAACTTTCTCTACTGATACATTTTTATAACAGCATTGGTAGAGGAATAATGGCCACGAAATTTTCTTTATCGAGTAGTGAATTTAAAAAGAATCGTTAGTGGGTAGAAATCGGGGTAAACTATAGAAATTTGATTGCGCCCTTCGATACAGACTTTTTATATAATACTATATAATATGAATAAAATGAATGTTATTTTGATAGAAAAATTGACTATTCTATAGTGCTTTATTATTGTACATACTACAGAAGTGCATTGTAGATTTCACTATGTAAACAATTAAAGGTGCAATGATGTAAGTGCCACTGTAGCCTTTCTTTTCAGGTAATGAAAGGAACAAAATGTAGTCTGTGTGGCTGTCGAAGGAATCTCTTTTCTTGTATTAATATAGTAATATTAAAGAATAATGACTTTTTTTGCATTTGTATACATAGTGTACGAAATTACTAGACGTGGTATAAAATATAACCCTTGTTCAATACCAATTGTTTTTAATGTATTGCAATATTTGATGAATACGCTCTTTATCTACAGTCATTCTAAGATATCCTTTTAGAAAGTAATAAGTAATAGTTATTGGGAGGCTTCGACATTATATATTATATTGCGGGGCTGATAAAAAACGTAGCGTAAGATGAAAGATACAGGTTGGCCCTGAGAAATTTAAATTTTCTTGCGTTTTTTGGAATTTGCAGGTCAGGGTCAGGTTGTATGTTTAATAAAATATGATTCGCGACCGTAACAAGTACGTGTTTATAGAATTATTATCATGAAAATCACTAATACAACCGTACAAAAGAAACTTTTAATTTCGCGGTCCAACCTGGAACTTTCACCTCAATGCTTTTTCAGAGTAAAGTAACCTAAAGCAATAATGACAGAATACATTTACTTTCAGCATTGTCTATGAAATTTTACTAGATATGGTACGAAATAAAATGCTTGTTCATTTCAAATTGTTTTTAATGTATTGCAATATTTGATGAATACCCTCTTTACCTGCGCTTCCTTCAATATATTCCATGTCAAGAACAATTTGATTAACTTTATTGCTTATTTTTATAATACCTTGTACAAGAGGATTTTCATTATCATTTTTATTTTGTTTACTATTATCATTCAGTACTAAACTGCATGTTGCTATATTATTTTCAGTATTAATAATAGTTTCATTAAGTAATGATTTTTGCTCTTCATCTTTTGTTTGATCACATGAGACTGAATCTATTTCAATACATTTTTCATTTGTCACGTCTAGTTGTTTTACTTTTTGTGCTTTAGGTTCATCTTCTTCTGTTCTTTTTAAAAACCTTCTTTTACGTCTTTGATTAGACCAATTATTTCTCAAAGCTGTGAAGTTTAATATTATTTCATTTCGTCTTTTCGTAATAAGCTTGTGTTGAATTTCGAGGCGATCAAACATTGTTTTAATTTTTTCACTTATATTTTCAATGTTATGACATTGTTTTGATAGCTCTGGCAACACAAAGGAGACAGGAACATTTTTCTTCCTGGATTTCTCTCTTGGAGGGACTGAAAGATTATTTATTTATTTTTAAATTAAATATTTTCGGTGATAGAATCCTTGACAAAGATATCCGCAATATACCTATAATAATTAAAATTAGACGATCAATGGGTAGAAACATTTTAATCGGGTAGCAGTCTCAAACCGGTGAAGGAAGTATAGGGCGAACCGTCAGTAGATGGAGTCGCCAGTAGTGGCGATCTCATAATATAATATGCAGAAAGTCGATAGATGCATTTATGTAGTAAATATACCAAAACGCTCATTTAAATGCAGCTAGCAAAAAATATGATTTCATACAAAATAGGTCTCAGCCGCCATTCTAACTTCATTAACTCTTGGTGAAGACAAGGTTGCGCGTGACATTAGTACGTGAATATACGTCGCGTAGTTGTTTAGCAGCGAGGGCTGCGGGCCATCAAGATCAAGGCTTCGCTCACGGTTTTACTGTCGGTTTAGCTCTGTATGTAGTACCTATTTAATTAATTTAGTACAGTCCATTATTTCATTTATCATGTCTCGGGCAGTCAGTTTTCCCTATCATATAGTGTACCGGGCACTGTCCCCTACAACTCTTCTAGCATCATTACCTATCGAAAACTTGTCTTTGTTTAAGCTTCGTGATTTAGTCTATACTCACCTAAAACATTATCTACCACAAACCTTGCACCTTAGATACTGCTCTCTACTATCAATATGGATATTTTAAGCTATGCAATATTTTTATCAGTTTTCAGTCATTTTCATTCTTTCAGTCATTTTTCATTCTTTACCAGCCTATTCAATTATGATACTTGGAGAATGTCATAGAAAAATGATTTTATTCAATCACTAGACGCGATAAGCACAAACATTTTTTAAATCAAAATTCTTACCTAAATTATAGATATCAAAATCTTGGTATGTCCAAGCTAAACCCCATCGAGTGACACGACCTTGACAGAATTCTGTAGTGGTATGTCTAATTCCTTTAGCTTTAAGGTCTAAAATTAGTTCTTTCAAATTGTATTTATGTCCAATCATTGTAGTAAATATGCTGTAAAGGAAAGAATATTGTATCAATACTAAATGGGCATATGATCTGCGTAGGCATCCGTGTGATTAAGACTACTCTTTTGCGTATTTCTACCGTTAGTAATGCAGTGTGTTTCTATAATTACATGTATAATTCACGCACATCCCCCTCTTCGCCATTCTTAGTAAACAGTTTATTTTTTGGTAAATCAGTTGTTTGAAAAAAATCCCTTTCAAAGTTATTGAACCTCCGATATTATTATTTTTTGTGTGCTTCACTTTTTAAATGCTTTCTTGTAATTAATCTTTCTTTTAATTCTAATGTAACTACTAATGAAAAATCATGTGTTTACAAAAATCACTAGTTTGTTATTCAACTCCAAACTAGTTATTCGCGTACATGGCTCGTAGCTAGTTATTACTTTTTGTTAATGATGACGTTGTTTATCACCGCCGAGACAGCGTCGTTGTTTGGTTGAAAAGTCCTCTCGCTTACTGTAATAATAAGCTCAACAATTGTGAGGAGTAAGGTAACATTTTCGTACATACCTATATACTAAAATACAGCCTTAAGCAATATACTAAATCTTCAAACTACAATCATAAGCATCATGCATACTTACAGAATGTTATTTTTGAATGCTTCACTTTCTTTAATCAACTTCCTACAAAACTCCAGCTCTCCACCTTCCGTGATCAACTCTTGAGGTGATCCAGTAAAGGCATTTTTTGGTGGAGGCCTAAAAATATTAATAATTCCCTAATTATTTAATCATTAATATTATGACATACAATTAATTATTTAATTTTTAACAAAAAGTAAAAAGCGACTTCAAATTGCTAAAAAAGAACTTATTTATTTGCTAGCCTTAATTTTTTTTCTCCAAATTTATAAGGGACCACCCTTGAAGCACAAACTATTTAATAAAAAAAGAATTATCAAAATTTACAATCTGCGAAGATATCGAGTAACATGCATTACAAAAAAAAAATACACTCGAATTGAAAACTTCTTCCTTTTTGAAGTCTGTTAAAAATCAACTTCTAAGCACTACAGGTTTAGCAATAAGTTTTAGAACAACTATACCTTGCAGGGCTGCGTGATTCATACAAATCTTGAAAACTGCTGTAAAATGGTGGATTGCACATACAAAAGTCGACTCTAAGTCCATCATCATCCAAAAATAAATGTTCAATCAGTGATGCTGATGTATTATTTCGCACTGTAATTATTTACAATTCTACATATTAATTTGTTTTAACTGAAACCATTATTTAGTAAAATATAATTTAGATATGATGTTCAATACTAACAAATTTTATTTATGCTCAAGCATAAGGATTGTTACAATTATTAAGACGATTCTTATATGTAGGAATCAATTACTTTGTTTATTTATAACTTTTTATTATATACCAATTGCTTGTGTAAGCAGTTTAAATTAAATTCTATTTTTTCAGCATCTTAGTTATTTTGTATTATTTAAATAATTATTTTGTTTACACACATTAAACCGGGTAATTATTATTTTTTTATATACATACACTTAATAAGATGTTGCAAATTATTTCTTGTAACATTGTCCACAGCCTTCTGCAAACTTTGTTCATCTTTTTCTGTCCCGACCATATACCATTTGTTTTTCACAGCTGATAATAAAGGGTATATGGCACATGCTCCTGTACCTAAAATAAACATAAGCACATTAGTGCATTTTTAATTTGGGAGCATAGCTGCATGGGCGGGCAGGCTGTCAGCTACAAAAAATTATATTTAGGATAATCAAATTTATTCTATGAAGCTGCAATCTTTAAAAAAAATTTGAAAAAGCCTTCGATCGTGTAGACCACGACCTTCTGCTCCGCAAGCTCCATTTGCTTGGAATTCAAGGAGACCTACTCCGGTCGATGAGCTCCTATCTTTCTAATCGCTCTCAGGCTGTAGTGCTGGGTCGATACAGATCCGATTATGTAACTGTTCCTTCGGGTGTCTCACAGGGATCGCACCTTGGCCCGCTATTCTACAATGCGTACATCTTTGACATTGCCAATTGTTTTTCTCATTCTAATCACCTATTATATGCGGATGATAAAAAAATATACCGGGCAGTTCGTTCTGTTGAAGATTGTAGATTGTTACAATATGACTTGGATAACTTGTTTTATTTTTATCAACAAAATAAGATCTATGTCAATATTAAAAAAATGTCAGATTATAAGCTTTACGCGCAAGAAAAATCCAATTGTTTTTTCTTATAACTTTAATAATCAAGTATTAACACGAGTCAATGATAAACGTGATCTCGGCGTTTGTTTTGACTCCAAGAGCGTATTCAGAAAGTTTTTGAAATCTCTAAATTTCAGGTGCGACGTCACCACGCATACATTAATGTCATACAGTGATAATTGTCGTAAATTTAATCTTCTTACGTTAGAAGAACGCCGTGAGATGTTAGACATGGGTTTTTTGTTTGATATTTTACGCGCTCAATCATACTAATTATAGCAAGAATAGTGTCCTCACCAGAATGGTTAAAATTTTTAACAGTAAATTCTCTCATATTGACCCATTTATCCATTCCAAAAATACATTTAAACTGAAGATAGTACATGCTTTGACAGGAGTAGACAATTAATCCTTATTGTTTATGTTGGTAGCCTTAGAGTAATGGTAGCATTCGTAGTTTTATAAATCCGTAATAGCATCTCAATTTAGATGTCCAATTCGCTAATTGACACAAAAAGAATTTTATATAATGTGTGTATGAAAGTGTGTACGTATTATATATATATATATATATGTTTACCTATATAAATAAGTATTTAATTAAAATATGATTATATGTTATGTTGATGTATGTCTACATATGTGTATATGTGTATGTATGTGTATGTATATATATATACCCTAGATCACTCCTGGTGTTGCTTCTCTATCTGTTCGTGAACTTTCAGTATCCCTGACAGGCAGATGGAAAGACAGACAGACAAAAAAATTAAAATGGTTTATTCACGTCTAAAGAAAATGCAAATAAACCCTTCAGCTTAATTATTTTAAGCAGCTATCGAAATAAACACTTCAATTTTGTTTATATGTCATACCTGAGAACCTTACTAGCATTATATAAAAAATTGTTATGAGTAAATTGCATTTAAATTTTTAAAAATTAAAAATAAATAAAGTGTACTACTATTAATGGTTTTAAAATTCAAAATTTGTACTATCAACATTAACAATCGTCAAATTATAAATAAGAATATTTTAAAAATAGGTAATAACTTTAGTGTGATTACTCCTAAAAATATTCAACATTTTCATTTTCATATGATGCACTAATTACACTATGTACGAGTTTTTATACATTTGAACTTTTATAAGTATTAGCACTCTTTTTATTTATAAATCTTTTATTGTGGAACTTGTGCATCTTTCTGAATTGTGAAGCACTTGATCAGAATCTTCCCGAGGCAAACGTCGATCAGAAGAGAAAAGCTAACAACGTTAGAACAATCCTGGATATATAAAATCATGTAACTTAAATTGTGAGTTGAATAAATACCTAAGTTCTGCTACTGAAACAGATAACTCCGATAACAATCAACAAACCAAATATTTCTTAATTCATTGCGCGATTAATCTGCGACCCCTTTGGATGGGACGCAGAAGAGTATTCCATCATATTTTATGCACATAATTAGAAATTTGTATCTAGGTTTTAGGTCATCGTATGAAGACACATGAGATAACGCTGATGTTTCCAAGTCAATATTAGAAATTATAACACCACCTACAAGTTTTGATTGTGTAGAACTGGTATGGTATGGGAACACTGGCCGGTACTATCTACAATATTGCAACACAATGACAGAAATCTTATTTAAGAGATTTTTTTTAATATTAAAACCTATTTTAGGTTCTACAGAAATATCTTTAACTATTACCACTATGTACAGTATCTAATTATAATATATATATAATTTTAAAAGTAAATAAATTCATAAGATTTCGCAATGCTAACACGCTTAGAGATGGTGGAGAATTAAAATGTATTCTGGTTCTGGAAATATAACTACAGTATGTAACTAATTAGTCTTAATTTGTTTCAATTGTTTGTACAGGAGGTATAGGTAATGGGAAAATATTACTGTTTTCCGTACTGGAGGAAATAGGTGATAATAGCTGATTATCATCATGTGATAATGTAGATATGACCTGCTGAAAAGATTCAGGTGAATTGCTTGATAATTCAGAAAATCCTGTATTTTATATCTCGTCAAATGCAGCAGAAAAAGGTTCTTTAGTTCACTTAAACGATTATGTAGAATTTTCTTTATTCAGTCTATGTATTGGTTCATAAAAATCTTTTTCTTTACCATTAAACTCTGGAATTTCTTTCTCTAGAGTTAGTTTGTTTCCTGGGATTTAGATATTCTCATATGGGCGTTTTTCAAAAAAGATGTACAGATGACGAACCGGAACAATATTTTGTGTTATAGAAATTTTACCGTAAATTCTTATCTCATCCGATAAAATATACTACAAACAAGTAAAAATAAAAAAATACATCAGTATCATGCAAAACAACGTGATAAACTTAATTTTTATGGAAGAGTTCCCAGGAACGTGCTCCGGTTCGTCACAAAGGCAAAATGTAAATGAAATGAAAAATATGAGTTAATATGATAATTTGTTTTATTATTTATTAAATAAACCTTGAAATCTTTGAAACAAAACATCTAAACATAGATAAATCACTATAATCATCGCTTAGCAATCATTTTACTTTCGAGATCGTCACAGACGGAACTTTTGACCATTAAAACATTACATTTATACTTATTACTTAAAATAAAAGTGAACGCAATTAAAAATAATATAAACAACAAATTCACGGTCAACAACTACTACAAAAATATTACCAATTTACTAAATATTTACTAAAAGGATTAGTTTATTGTCTCGGTAAAATATGGGACAGTGACTATCTGGACTTCTAAGTGTCTGGAAAACTGACTGGAAAAAATTAAGCTAGGTTTACACAGAGTAATATTTGGTCGAACGTTTTTATTTTAAGTCTTTAAATTAATAATCTAAAGTAAAAACAGCTTATTACTAAAACCTGTTTTAACTTAATCTTGAGGTACACACAGTTTACATACTTTGAACACATCTTTTTAAATTTGGTTAATTTTTACTCATATTAAATAAGTAATACCCATTTCTATTCCAAATAGCAATTACCCTCACGACCAAGCAATCAAAATAATATTGATGCAAAGAAAATTATTCAATTGTTAAATGTACTCCTGAGTTATATTAATATTATAAGAAAAAAATAAGGAAAAATTATTCATTATTGAAATTAGGTTTGTTCATTGCTATTTGGAAGGTAGTTAGTTACGTATCGCTTAAGGTTCTAATCAGTCTTCGAAACATCGGTCGCAAATATAATCAATAGCTGGTTGGTTGCAGCATGATCTGCATACCCAGTTTTTACAAGCAATACACTTTGTCATGTCTGTGATCACATAGCGTTTATGCAGTTTACACATATGCCAAGAAAAGTTTCTATTGATTATAGTTTTAGTGACGTATTCTTGTATTTTTCTTCTTTTATTGGTAATAGTACTTTTAGCTTTTTCTTTGACGGACCTTTATCTGACGCCAATGTATAATTCTTTCTTTTATTCTTATTTTCATTCTCTTTTTCTTCTGTCAAACAGCCTACGACATCGTATTTTGTCAAGCAGTCTACTGTATCTAAATCTAAATCATACTCCAGTTGAGGGTAATCTATGACACCGTCAAAAACTTCTAAATCTAGAACATCATCCACTTTCAAGTTAAGTTCCATAAAGGAATCAGTCTCATTATCATTCTGGCTGGGCGAAGCAGTAAGATCAACAATATTAAGGTCACTCTGGTTGGTTTTACTGCAGGGTGCAGTATCAGTCACAGTCGTGATTCCTCCACCACTTTCATCGCGAGGTACATTTTCGCGATCAATGATCGAGACTGTTTGAACCTCGGGGTTACTCTGATCGTTTTCAGCAATAAAAGCAGTTTTTTCTTCGATATCCAAAAATATTTGAGCATCATGACCACCCTGGTCAGTTTTATCGTAAAGAACAATGTCGTTTACTAAGTTGGTTGTAACATCACGGTTTTTATTGCAAGGTGCCATATCGAGTACAACAACAGAGACAGTTCGACTGTCACATTGACTCCGGTCAGAATCAAATGAATTTCGGGATTCAGACAAGTGCAAAGCCCGCGTTTATCGCCACAGAAGCAGCTTAATTGCCGATGCATAATTTGACCGACATCGACAGATATGATCTGGTGGAGTTTCATGGTCTGCGGGACAGCTTTAAGATCTCTTGGAATGATTTTGTTCATATTGTCGATATCACTATCAGACACTTTGAAACATTTAACAGATTTCATGCTGGTTGATAAATGTTGATACGCATCATCTGCATTTGTCACATCATGCCCATAAGCCACACGTCTATCTAACTGTCTTTTAACTGCACCCCCAATGCCATCTGCGATTCCCTTCCCATGTCCACTTTCCGAAAATGACCTGCTAATATATTTCAATTTCTATTTGGTTGTAAATAAGTTAATGAGGTAAAAGTTCTTTTTCTGTCTGTATTGGGATGTGGGGCCGTCAGAAAAAAAAATGGATGATTTCAATTGTTGGGTCTGATTTCTTTACAAACTGTAATATGGGCAAGAGATGTGCCCAGATGGCATTGGGTTCGTGGCATGTATTATCAGATATCGTTACAAACGATTGCGATTTATCCATCCAATAAATCATACCACAATGGAGTGTTATACTATTTTTTGATGCTCCAAAATGCATCGATTGGATCTCGGCCCCCAATTTGCAGTCGTAATTTTCGGAAAAGTCGATTAAAATGGCAATTTCTTTAATGGCCAGATTTTTAATGCAAATCTGGTATTGCCGCTGCTGCTCTTTCCAGTTGTAGTAGTGTCTCTTAAATTTTGAAAACTCAGCTTTAAATTCTGTTACTAGATCTCGAACCTTTCCTTTCTAGAGTTTTTGTAGTAGTAGTACTTTTTTCCGATTTTTGGTATGTATGCGTAACTCTATTCCATCTAAACCATGAAATTTCGTCGTAATTTTTTTCCTCTTTGTATTGTAGGCTTCGGTTGTTACAAGTTACACATTGTTCGTACATGCAAGCATGCAAGTTTTTGTCACAGATCGACTTAATAATAGTTTCTTCGAGGTTTTTATAGTCTATTACATTTTTGGTTTTCAGAGCAATAAAAAGATACTCCATGTTGCTATGCTTAACGCACATACAGGTATCTCTAGTTTTCGCCGTAGGTGACAAAACGTAATATGGCTTATAGCGAAATAAAGTCGTTAAGCTGTGCGTTCCTCCTTCCTTTTTATAAATTTTATATAAATTCTGTAATGGTCAGTTAAATATCTGATCTGCATCTTCTTCTTTCCTCTAGTTTTTGTTTCTCGTTTTCCAGCAGTGTTTCGACTTATGTCATCTCCTAAATAAAAATGCTTTATTTCTTCTTCAATCTTCTTGTTTAACACAATTTTTTTCTTACTTTGTCTTATGCGGCCTTTTAGCCCCAAGCACGTAGCAATCGTTTTGACTGATCTATTGGTTTTGACCACTTTGTTTACTGCAACAGATTTAAGCAGCCTTTTTTCTGGTAAAGATTGAGCAGTGCAGTAAGTTTCGCGTAGTGACATTTACAGAAGTTTATGTATTATTTTTTGGAGTTCACCAACTTTTGCCTCATGAGCTAACTTATCACGGTAAAGTTTTTTGCGAATTGCTTCATTTTTTACTTTTAATTTGCGAATATTTGCTAAAGCTCCTCGGTAACTATTACATATTTTTTGTAACGAATTTTTAAAACAGCTGTGCTGTTTTGAGACTTCGATGAACTTGGGATAGCTTTTTGATCATCGTTTTCTTTTTTATTCCTTTTTACTTTGTTTTTTCTTTTCTTCCCTCCATTGTTTTCTTCTACATTCTTTACCTTCTTCTGTCAACTCAGTAATAGTTTTTCGACTCTTTTTAAGTCGTTCTAACTGCTTCTTCCGTTGCTCTTCAAATTTTTCGGGGTTTTGTTTCAGTTTCTCCCAGTATCTTTTAGCTCTTTCTGCTGCCGTGAGGGCCATGTTTACTGAAATGTAGCACATACTTAACATACATTATATCACATTATATACTTAATATTATAATACTACTCATAACCTAGTTATTATATAAGGTGTCTCAAAATTAACTTTACAAAGGTTAAGGAGTGCTTTAGACCATTAAACCACCACAACTGGATAACTGACAATAGGAGGTACTTTGAAATCGCTAAAAAGAAAACAGCTGTCCCATACAGTTTAGAACAGTAGATATTAACTTTAGTATGGAACAGCGGTAATTTTTTCGCGGTTTCAAAGTTAGTCCCATAGTAAAATTTATTCAGTTCGATAGTTTAAAGCACTCCTTAAAGTTTTGCAACATACACGGCGTGTCAAAATATTGTGTCCTATACCTACGAACAAATATCATCGGACTGTTTAACTGCTTCAACATAAAATCTTGCTGTGTAAAAAGGAGTCGTATTTTGATAAAGATGACCTTTTTACATTGTTAATGATATTTACTCTACACTAGTGTGTATTTAAGTACATAAAATCGCAAACCAGTACCATATTTTTATTCTAGGTCAAGATCTATGTATAATTTAATTTTTATCCAATTTGGTTCGAAGATTAGTGGTAACAAACATCCAAATATCCAATATTTGATATTTATTAAAATTTTAAGGATTTATTTTATTTTATTCCTCCTATTCATCTATCAAATGTAACCCCAGCTTAATAGTTCCGGTGCGTCACAAAACGATTCCGGCTATACAATACGTGACAAACCCGATGTGACGATTTCATACCAACAAAACTTCTAAAAATAATTCAAGCTGTTGTGTCCATTTTATTACTTCTTTTGACTTGTATTACAATAATAAACAAAAATGTGATTGTGTTACGGCAAATAACTTGGAAAATGGCTACATACCTCATAAAATCTTGTTACTATCTGGAACTCCATTTCGGTACCACCGTAACGCGCCCACTTTAGTCACAGATTTTGTTGATACTGAGTTTTGCTTCAAAATGGCGGTTACACCACAAACAAGATAAATGTTGCCAGAAATGAAAAACAACCATATTTTAGGGTAATATTGCGTTGAAGTATTGAAAAGTTTACCGTGACTATTGCCGGAATTCCGATTCTGTCATATTCCTGGGACAACAATAAATATAGTATTTTGACCTATTGATGCCCCAAATCGAAATAAAAAGCTTTGAATTATATTTATAAGTTCAACATATGTCTACAGAGTCTAAAACAGTAGGCCCATTTAATATATCTAATCTTACCCGAGTCTTGAAAGTTTCAAACATGAATATTTTACACTTTTTTTATGTTCATTTTATGATATTTTAGTATCAGTGATAGTTGAGTTGCAAATTATAGTCAATTTTATAACTTAAATATGTAACTATTAAATAAATATGCAGTTTATTTGAGTACAATGCATACAAAAATTATAAAAAATAGGTGAAGTCAGGGGACACCTCAAATTCGCAATGTCCATCTTTTTTAAAAACGCCCATATGAATGGTTTAGGTAAATTTTGTTTTCTTTGTGATGATACAATTAAGGAAGATATGTTTTAATTTTCATTATAATTTTGATTAGTTATTTTCTTAATATTTTTTTATTTTGGTAATGCTTGGATTGGCTATTACACCGAAATATTATAATAGATTGGTTTATTACTGCTTTATGCTGACTAATAAGAACATTGAATGCAACAATATAAACTTAAGAATTTCTACCAAAGCAAATAGTTACAAGATATAGAATGATGACATCACATTAAGTAGTGCAATATAATTTCATTTTAAAAGCAAACTAATAGACACTGTGACTGTGCTAAAATAATTGTTTTAGTATAGAATTATAAATAGTTTCTGAGGGTAGGACAAATTGATTACTGACACTAAACACTAAAATTACAAGAAGAAATTTAAATCAAAATGACATAATAGCAAACATTATACTGTTTTACTTATTTTTTAATTTTGGCTTACATGTGTTAAAATAGTAATAATACTGTTACGAAACAAAAATTTAACATTACAAGGTTATAATATTACTGACATTAAAAAAAAACATCTGAATCTGAATCAAGTATTTCATCAGTTTTTTTTTGGAATAAAGATGACAAATAAGCACTCAGTCCATCTGATGGTAATGCTGCAGTTATGTGTAGCTAGCATAGCTGCATCGTGGCTCTACCATGTAAGTTACAATAAACTACAGCTCACAGAAAATGTGTTATTGGCATATTTGTTATTGTGTATATAATTTCACAGATAAGCTAGCTCTTCTATAAGTCCCTAATGCTGTGTGGGTGTCAAAGGGGCGAGTGGGAAACTGATGATGAGGAAGTTGATAAAGTTGGCGATGGACAGCATTTTTGAGATAACAACTTAATAAAAATTAACTTTAACGTGGTAAAGCCATGCTGCAGCTATATTATGGTTGTAGCACGAATGGGTCGGCTCGACCGGGGAAAGACCACGCTCTCACAGAAAACCAGCGTAAAATAGCAGCTTAACGCTGCTGTGTTTCGTATGGTGAGTGTAGAGAACCGGAGACCCATTTTACTGCCAAAGAGGCATTCCATCTTAGTCCTCACGGGTGACAACGCATCTGCATCTTGAGTCTTTGTTGAGGATAAATGTAGATGTCTATGGGTCACAGTAACCACTTACCTTCAGGTGGACTGTGTGCTCGTTTGTCACCCGATCCTATAAAAAAAAAAAACAGTGGTTGTCAACCGACTTGTCAAGAGTGACAACTATAGCAAATATGATTAAATCTAAGGGGGAGGCCTATGTTCAGCAGTGGAGTTTGATAGGCTGTAATGGATTGAATAGATGTATGGATATAAAATCATTGTTCAGATTCTGTATGTTAGTAATCATGGTTAAATATTTATAAATATATTTTTTACACTATAAAAAGTCAGGAGTAAATTTGAATAGAAACTCATATTGCCACCACCGGTGAGGCTGGAACAATTTCTGCAGGAACAGTTAGTTTAAAATGTTTACTGATTCATAACAACACAAAGTTACTAAAAACTTACACATATGAAATGAATTTATTATACAATGATTATGATTATTTAGGAAACATACCAATGTCTAATCCTGTAATGCTGTCTTCCCTATGAATTGAGGTCATCAAATCTTCAATCCATAAAATATAATTCAGTCTCAATGGTAGAGTTGGAACCAATCTATCTTCAGGTATGATAACATCTAAGCCAAAATCTGATTTTAATAAGCATTTAGTTAAAATTCTTAGAGCCTGAGGATCTTTGAAATCAATGCTGACCTTTCCTGAAACATCCTAGAAAATCTATAATAAGTCATAATGGTAATTGGTAATGATCTGAAGCGTTATTTACTGATTATGTTATTTACTTTGGTGATTTGCTAATTTAATTTTAAAAATTACCAAACTATGCACATTATTACAACTACAGAAGACCTAGCTTTAATATATTACGGAAACATGTATGTAGTTTTCTGTTTTCTAACCTCTTTTCTTATCCGTCTTAATCATATTCCACATCTGCTTAACTTAGATATTATTGTTTTACATAAAATATCGAAAAGGCAGAGAATACCTAAGCAAGGTGACGATTAAAAGAATTTTATCTTCTTGCGGTTTTACTCAAACTCTATAATAAAAATAATTATTTTCATTCTCACCATTTTTGCTATATTAGAAAATTCTTCGAACTCTTTGAATAACTTACAGAAATCAGGCGGTGTTCTGTATATGTTTCTAGGGTGCATAAATTTATTTAATGCCATTTTTTATTTTTTATTTTTAAATTGAAAATAAAAGTCGTACATATCGTAATGTATTGTTGTTTTGTTGTTTTTATTATTCGCTCGAGAGAACAGGCAAAGGAACTAAGCCACACAGCCTTGTCTTTTTTATTTTGAATATATAGAATTTTAGAGTGTAAAGGCCGGAACCAACTCTTATTTTTCTTCTTTCCATCTCTTCAAAATCCATAAACGCAGTAGTCAAGTCTTATTATCTTTAATTCTTCATATTTTCAAAAACCCGTAAAGGCTAAAGCCAAGTCTTTATATTATACTCTTTGTAAGTTTCAATCCATGTAGATTTGTCAATCCAATATTTTCAAAAACAGGGATACCATATTTCATATTTCTTTTACAGTATTATGAATAAAATTGCAAAGTGCTAAATATGTCTTAGTATTCCTAAGAACATCTTGCAGGGCACGTGGGACGCTTTCTGAGTTTTCATAAAGTTGTATAAGTTTTTCAATGAGTAGGAATCTTTCTATGGCGTACGCTGGGCAGTTAAATATTATATGTTCTGCAGTCTGATCTGCTTCTGTATCGCAGAAATTGCATGTTGCAGATGCTACTATTCTCATCCTGTAAAGATGAGCGTTCAGTCGATAGTGGCCAAATCTAAGTCTGCACATTATTGTATAAAATTTTCTGCTATGATATCTTCGCATATCGTTGCGAGAAAACCAAGGAATACTTAATTCTGAATTAATTGATGCATACCAACGACCTTTTGCTGCCTCTAAAACAGCATTCCATTGCATTTTCCATTCTTCTTTTAACTCTTGCTTTAAAATTGAATATAAATCTGTATGTGGTATTGCAACATCGGTTATCCTGTCAATATCAGCTGTAACTATACTTTTAGCTAAATTATCTGTTCTTTTATTTCCTTGAACCTATGGAGTGTAGAGTAGAAGGAGAACCATCTTATAAGGAGCGAAGGTTGAAAAAGTGTCCTACTATTTACTGTAAATAGAGGTTCCAAAACCTACCACAATAGCGCTGGCGTCTGAAAAACTACGATATGAAGATAGCTGTTATGAACGGAGTGAAGTCAGCTGAATTCAAATATTTCATGACTAGAGTAGTTAGTAAAACGCCAATATACAAAATCTCAACTATTTACGTAGTACAAAACCAAGCGGATTGATCGGTCCTTATTTATTTCTCCATCTTATTCTAAATACTTTTGGCGCTTCTTTTTTAATTTATCCTATGTTACTGCAGCGCCACCCTTATTGGACACGTTTTTAGGGACACTTTTCATATACAGAGATGGTCCTCCTTCTACTCTACACTCCATACTTGAACCCCAATATGTGACGGAGTTAATAAAAATTTTACTTCCAAATTATTTTCTTTCAATTTCCACCACAAACTTTTGATTTCATATATGATGAAAGACGTTTTAGCATCTAAAGCTCTTGCCTTCAGTGCCTTCAAGACACTCATGCTATCAGAGATCAGTAACCATTTATTAGATATATGTGGGTGTTCTTCTATATATTTAAGAGCGATTAAGACAGCATAACATTCTGCGGTGTATATGCTTGCTAATGCAGGAATGGAAAGGCCACGTCCAGTTTTCAGATGAGGTATGTAAAATGCACAGGCTACTTTATTATCAAATTTTGAACCATCTGTGTAAATTTGTCGATATTCATCATATGTAGATATAAGTTCATAAACCTCTTCTTTTCTTTTCAATTTTTCATCAATATTTATGTGTATATCACTGAATTTACTTTCATAATTCCCCTTATAACAAGGCCAAGTATGTGTGCTTTTGTGAATATTATATTGTTCATCATATCGTATCACTTCATGAAAGTCATGGAGTATATATGGGGATGAGTTAGATATAGGAGACATACTATTATAGTAAAATAATACTTTTTGAAAAAGAGGATGATGAGACAAAGAATTAATATTTAATAAAAACCTAAATTTCAGATATTTAAACCTAAGTAAGATAAGAGGATTAAGACATTCAGCCTGTAAAGAAACAACAGGAGTTGTTCTCATAGAGCCGGTAATAAGTCTTAAATTCTTATTTTGTATATTTTCTAATTTGTTTACTAGTTTTTTATTTCATACAAAACAAAGAAAGCTATACTCAAAATGGCTCCTCACCAAGGACTTATATAACATTAATAATATATCTGGATCAGCTCCCCAGTTAGTACTAGCCAAAGCTTTTAATACATTAAAGGCCTTAGAAGCTCTGTCTGAAATAGAATTCACGTATTTGGTCCAAGATAAATTATTTGTAAAAATTACACCTAAGAATTTTGCACAACTTTCTATTGGTAAAAATGTATTATTATAAATTATTCTAGTGTTAAATGGACGAATTTTATTAAATATTACGACTTTACTTTTCTCAGTATTAATATCTAAATTTAAGTATGAAAAGTAAACATGCAATTTCTTTAAAGCCTCATTTAAAGTGGTTACCAAGTTTTTGACATTTGTTCCTGAGGCATATATGACCAAATCATCTGCATATTGTAAATTAGTAATATTTGATCCTAAAATATTGTTTAATTTAAATATGTATAAAATAAAGATAAGAGGACTTAATATTTCTCCTTGACAAACACCTTTATAACTGAGCCTAGGACCAATAATTGTATTATTATTATTAACTTTAACAAAAACTCTTCTTTCATGTAAAAAGTTAAATATCCATTTTACAATTTTTTCAGGAATGGTCAAAGACCTCAACTCTGCGGCGAGTACATGAAGATTAACGTTATTAAATGCACCAACAATGTCAAAGAATATACTAAGGCTGGCTTTTCACTATGGGATATAATATATATTATATCCCGAAATATAAATTATATCCCGCGATTGACTTTCACACTGTGAGATATATCTTTTAACTAGTGTGCATTCGTCATTGGTCATTGGATTACCCCCCTTTACCCCGTACACCGTTCTGCGCGGGCGCGAAACGGTGTGCGGGGTACAGGGGGCGAAATATAATATGAAAATATCGTTCGGTCGATCGAAAAAATATTTATAGCTTGAGATGTAATATATATTATAGCTCAGTGTAAACGGTTCCCCATATAAAATGTATGGTGAGCGATATTAATTTATATCTCGAGATGTAATATATATTATATTATATCCCATAGTGAAAAGCGGGCTTAATTAATACTTCTTTATTTTCCATAGCTTTAAAGATGTCTAAATGTAGAAATGCAATACTTTCTCTAGATGACTTACGGCGTCTGAATCCAAACTGGTTTGTTGGTAAAAGACAATTTTTTTTCTAGATAAAATTCTAATCTAGATTTTATAAGTTGCTCAAATATTTTACCCATACAAGATGTAAGTGCTATAGGTCTATAAGATTCTGCAATGTGAGGTTTTTTTCCAGGCTTTAAAATGGGTATCAAACAATCTTCTTTCCAATCGTTAGGAATAAGTGAATGAAACCATAACATATTATATATTTTCAAAACTAGTTCTCTACACGCAGTATTCATATTTTTTAAAGCTTTATATGGAACAGAATCTAAACCACAAGTAGTGTATTTTCTAGAGTTAACAGCTGAATTGAATTCGGTCAAGGTAAAAGTTTTGGTAAGATAATCACAATGATTATCATTTGAGGAGTGAGGGGCTAGAGGTGATTCATCAGTTTCTGGAGTATATTTTTTCAAAATTTCATAAGCCCAATTAGAATCTCTGACAGATGTGTTATTATGACCAAAAGTTTTGTTAAACTTTTTAATGTAATTCCATATTCTAGTCAATGGTGTAGATCTATTAAAAGTTTCACATAGTTTTTTCCAGCTAAGGTGTCTTTCAGTCTTCAAAGTAATTTTTTAACAGCTTGTAGTCTTTTAAAATTAATATAATTTCGTTCTGTGGGATCATTCTTAAATACTAAATATGCATTTTTACAATTTAATACTGCCTCTTTGCATTTTAAATTCCACCAAGGTAGAGAATTTTTTTTTAATTCTTTTAAAAGATTGCAAATTGATGTTAACATTTCGATTAGAAGACTGATTGGATGGTGTGGATTCATGCATGGCTTGTTTAATTAGTTCTATTAAGTCTGTACAACATTGTAAAGGATTACTATAATCAAAACTATAATTTTTAATTAAATTATCTATTAAATTTGGATATTTTGACCAATCTACCAATTTTAAGTTTATGTTATTTGATACAGCTGTTTCTTGAAAATTTTGGCTTAGCTTTCCATTGACGTCAGTGGAGTTTGGTGTTGATACGTATTTTTACAGAAAGATTACACTATTATAAGCACACACACAAAGTCTCAATATACGGAAACGCGTAATTTTTGAGAAAAGAATAATTGAAAATCAATTATTCTTGCAATGTTTACGTCTAACTTGCTAATAAACTGGCGCCATTTTGTAATGTCACTGTCGATGTCAATAGGGATGTCGATTCTTTCCGAAAAAGGTCGATTTTTAAATCAATTCAAATCGTAAGCTGATGTATCGGTTCACAAAAAATCGATTTCTAAAATGTCTATATTTTTTTAATGTTTCTATTTATAATGTAAATATAAACCCATTTTATGAAAAACAAGAAAGATACCATGATAAATGATCTCTTATTGAAATTTGTTTTATTTAACAGTACCTATTAGGGCAGATAACAAATAAAATAGGTTAGGTTCAACTTATGTCAAAGAACCGAATTGATTGACCCCGACTCCACCTGGTACGAGTCTGTCCTACCCCTAGAGTGGTTTTATAGAGCCGGAGGCGCGTAGGGGGAGCAGCCTCCGCCTGCTGTAACAAATCGTAGGCATCGGACGAGCCGGAGCGGCTGAGGCTGGTCGCCGAAGGCGACCAACAAGCCGAAGCTGCGGAGGCGAGGAGGGATGCCTGCGATTTGTTACGCTAAGGCGTAGAGGTTGCTCTTCCCGCAGCGCCGGAGACGTTGCAGTCTCAAAATAGATACAGAAATCCTTATGAATCAGTCCC